CTTAGTTGGTATCCGCCGTTCTAATGCCATCCTCTCCTGAGGAGAGAGAAAAGTGCAGCACCATGAACCAGCATCCATATGAATCGGAGGAATGCCACCACTCCATGCACACAAGCCAGCAGTGATGGTGTCTTCCAGCAAAAGGAGGAGAGGAGGGTAAATTAGCCAAGGGAGCCCAGAGCTTGAGGAGCATACTTGGTGCAAAAATCAAGACCTTTGTCAAACCAACTCTCTCCTCCTTCTTATGTATCCAGAGGTGCAAAAACAAACTTATCTCCTTCTCTCCCCCACAGATGTTTGCTTACTATGTAGGCCTATAGCTGTGAACTCTTGAGGTTTTTAATAATAAGTAGTTTTAAATTTTAGAATTTAAACACTAACCACATGACTATAGTTACAATGTTCTTCCCTCCTCTCTCCTGTCATCCAGAGTCTCACTGCATTTATATTTCAGGTCAATGCAGTGTTAACAAAAAAACAACACAAAATGTGGGACTCTTAAAGTATAAAGCCACTCTGGAGCTGAAAACAGTAGCATAGACACGTGTTGATGGTTTTTCCCTGGTTTGGCTACTAAAAGCTGCTATTATTGGTGATGTGTTCATACCAAGAAGCTGCCCAGCAGGAAGGAATTCCAACTCTGCACCCACAACTTCACTCCAGTAGAGATTGTCAAAAGACTTTGAATGTTTTGACTGGGGACAGAGATATGGTTTTATGTATTGTTAAAATGTATAGGGTCCATGCTGCATTTCTTGTGAATTATGGTGCTTCTCTCATTTTCTAATACTTATATTGCTCTGGAAGAGATGTAATCTGTGTATTTTTCTGAGGCATTGAATGACAAAGTTGGTCTGGAAACATCATCACCATCCCAAACAGTGTAGCAATCCAGTGGTGAATGGCGTGTGTGCAGCACTGCTTCTCTGAGTTCTACTGCAGATCTCTTGTGCTAAATACAGTGGAGTTCCTAAAGCTGATATTGTGCATCCATCTGGCTCTCCTTGGGTTTCAGTTTCCTGGGAGGAATTTACATTCATAATGAGACAATAAAGAGTTTGAGAATCGTGGACTACCTAAGAAGGTAGATGAAAAAATATTGTGTTCAATTGAGAATCATCAAAAAGCTTTCTATAAACCCTATTTTTTTTTCCCAAAGTGAATTTTATCTTGTGCAACTGCTCTAGAGGCTTGGGGTTTGCTCTTTCTGAGACTTTGGAACAGCGCTTACTTTCAGGCTCTGAAACTGAACTCTAAACAGGATAAGTATTATTAGACTCTTCCTGTTACAAGCCTTTGTAGTATCTTCCCTTCTTGGATCCAAATAGGTTCTAGGCGGTGTGTCCTAGGAGCAGATCTCTCTCCAAATGGCATGGGTTTTGTGCACTTCCTCATACAGCCAAGGCCCAGAAACTTACACTGAATAACAAGTCCATGTGCCTTTGGGAGTGGGGCTGTCTGAGTGCCATCATCAGTTTGGCTGCACTCAGCTATTAAAATGATGCATACAGCCTTTTGCAGTGTGCAAATATGCCAGGCCCTGGCTCCCAAATCCATGGAACTTGGCACTTCAGGTATTGATCACAGTTCAATTTTGAAAATAACACTACATCTTCAGGTTTTTCCTTTCTCATGTTTGTATTAAAAGAAAAGCTAATAAACTCTATTTTAATTAAAGTTAAATGTGAAGGGTGTGTTCTGTTCAGGTGTTGGATTCCATTTCCCCTCACGAGTATTTGGTGCTGTGCAGCTTCTCTCAAGTAGGAAAAGAAAGAAAAACCCCAGTGGGGTGTGTTAAGTCCCCTCAGTTCCCCATACCAGCCCCTCTCCTTCATTTTACCCCAGTGATTTGGGAATGCCTGGGAGCAGGCAGCAGGGGTCGTGTGGCAGCTGTGAGTGGGGCTGGGGCAGCCGGAGGCCTGGTGGGTGCAGTCCTGCATGGCTGCCCAGCTGTTCCCACATGGGTTTGGGCTGCTCAAATAACCCCTCACTAACACTTTCTTTGCACTCAAATGGCCTTTAAGGAGGGCCAGTCTCTCTGGAGGCGACTTGATGTTTTTTAAGTCCTCCCTTGAGGAGCAGTAAATTGGAAGCTACAAGTGACCACCTCCTGGATTGACTTGTGACCTAATTGCTAACGAGCTTTGCTTCCCTCAGCACCACCAGGTGCCTTCAGCTGTGTGGGATTGGTCTGGTGCACTTGGCTGTGGGCTGGTGTGCTCACTGTGAGGGGCTCAGCAGAGACTGGGGGCACTCACCTTTTTGTGCCAAATGATCTTTCTGCTGATCTGGATGTCAGGTGAATGACAACTCAAGCTGATGGCTGCTTCTGCAGTACATCCTGCAGGAGACTGCTGCTCCAGACTTAATTTTGCTTCAAATCTTACCTGGCTTTAGTCTTACTGTAGCCCAGAGCACATTCCCAATGGGATTTTGACCTGTTCAGCAGATGCTAAACAGGCCTGAACTTCAACTTGACTTCTTAAGAGAGAAAAAGTCACAATTCCATTTAACATTCTGGTCCCCTTGAAAGAGTTACACTCTGAAAAAAAACACAGCTAGTATATTTCTTAGCTAAACAATAAAAAGTAAACCATACAGCTCCCTTTTGCAGGAATAAGTAGAGTGTTTCAGAAGGAATTACATTTAGGTGGTTCTGCTGGACAATGAACTGGGGGAGGGAGGGGTACCCTCCAACTTGAACTATTCTTAATATGTTGGCAGCACTTCTCTCAAAGAGGCAAAAGAAAAATTACCATCATGGTTAGAAAACTGTAATTACAGAGACTGTTACCTACCTCTGCTGCCAGGGAAGGGCAACCAGCTACAGAATCAATGTACCTTGTTTTTCTTAGCCCAACAGCTGAGTAATATTTAATCTATGTTGGGGTGACCGCTGCCTGCTTTCAGTTCCAGGGCAGCACTCCCCATCTGGCACTAAATGCTGTTTGCAGAGACAATTGCTGCGCTGTGGCCCAGCAGGAGAAACGTGAGCACCAACAATAACAGGAGCAGCGTGCTGGCGGTCAGCAGGGGCAGGAAGCCATGGAGGTGTTTGTGGGCTACATGATGCCCTTGGGCTTCAGCAGCCCTTTCCCTTTGTGTACAGGGGCTGTTTATTTTGTTTCCAAGGGAATTTTATGAGAACTACTTCACCATGGGTTTGGCAATTAAGAGGACAGGCACTTGAGGGAGGGAATAAATGTCAAGACCATTGCTTCTGGATAAGGATAGAGGCGTCAAGCATAACCTGAGCAAGCAGAAGAGGACAGAAGAGCAATTGAGGCAAGAGCTTGCACAAGGGGTTGGCAGGCGTGCCCAGGGCAGGGTGAACTACTGAGTTCAGAGCTCAGCACTGGGCAGGCTGCAGCCCCCATCCTGTGCTGGGATTTCCCACAGCACAGTAATGCAAGAGCATTACCCAGGACTGGCATTCCGTATTGTTATCTGGGAAAACTACACTTGCACCAAATGAGTTGTTTGACAACATACAGTGAATTACAGGGTGCTGCCAAAGTGACTGTAATGCACTCGCTCACACCTACCCCTCTCAATTGACTAGCTAACAAAAGAGCACTTACCTGGCTCACCATGGGCCTGTTTGTTTTAGAATCGGAAAAGTCAGGCTGCCTTCATGGACAAGGCATTTTCTAGGTGAAATAACTACTTGGGCTTCTGCTTGATGACATTAAAACCTATTTGAAAAGCCACGTGGTCCCCATGCCATCAGACACGGTCATTCCCCACATCACCCCAGACTGAAATTGTGCCACATTTGCACTGCTGAACCCCAGGGAAGGCAGCGACTACCTCGAGGCTGGCCTAAGTTGCCCAAGTGGAACATGGAGAGCACAAGCATTAGGCCGGGCTGTGCAGGTGCTCACAGGAACAGAGTCCTGCAGGTGAGTCACACGGCTCCCTGCAGGAAAGGCCCTTCCCTTGCTCGGAAACCATGGCTGGAGGTAGGCGGTGCACGGCAGCGCTGCCAAACTCCTGTTTACTGAGGAGCTGAGGACACAACAGCTTCCTGGGAGGCAGCAAGGACAACAAGGCTGCCGGCAAGGTGATGGAAGCAGGCAGCGAGTGTCCACAGCGTGTTGGGAAGAACCTGATGCTGAAATGGTGCGTGTCACCTCCAGACCCCAAAACTGTTGCCCTTCAAGTGATAGGATTAGCCCCAACAGTATGTTTTGCCTGTACTTGAGCAAAGGGGAGGCAGATCCCGGAGGAATCAGGTGAGTCAAGCTGTGGGGCTGCTTCCAGTAAGAGATCCTATCTAGTGGGACCTGGTGTGTGCCTACACACCTAACTAGATAGCACAGTCCTGCACCATTAGTCACTGTGGAGCCAGCCTTAACCCCTTGCTGTCCCTCCAAAAGTGCTCCTCTCAACAGGAGGGATCGCACAGCAGATGGCAAGGAGAACACCCAAATCGGTGTGCAGCATCCTGCTTGGCTAAGAGCTGTCATCTGCTTAGCCTCAGAAGTATCAAAGGGCACCTCTTCAGGGCCTGATCTCAGCACAGGGCGAGGGATTGATACTGTGCAAACTGCAGAACGCAAATAAAAGTTGATAGTTAACCCTCTTTTACCAGTGAGGCGTGACCTTGGCCTGTCAGGGAAAGGCACTGTCAGCGAGGTCACGGGCACAGCCAGCAGCACAGCCAGCACAGCCCCCCTGGGGATGAGCTCAGCTCAGTGCAGATCCAGGCTGGGACCTCGGTGCCATGGTGGGCCACAGCGTGCCAGCGGTGAGGGCGCGGGTGTGTGACATCCTCTGTGCCAAGGGCAGCTGTGCGTGGGGTTTGTGCACATGGAACATGCTATTCCTGCGCCACTCCAGTGTAGTTGCCTCACCAGTTCCCCAGGATCCCCAGTAATAAGAGCCCTGCACAGCCCTCCACCACATGGCTCCCAGTCCCCCCCACAGCTAAGTTTTTAAGGTCATTAATATTCTAACAAGCAGAAGGAAAGAAAACACCACACACTGATTTTCTTTGTCCTCATAAATAACTAATCTTGATACTTCTCTTTGAATAAAATTTCTTCAGCTTTTCACAAAATATAGTACAGTAATTTAAACATTGAACAGCATCAGTAACAAAAGAGGCAAAACCCAACATGTAAATTGGCTACAAGAGACGGGGCACACAGCAACAGCTCCTTCCCCCCTCCTGCCACTTGTTGCTGAGAAGCCAGGCTCGGACACGAGTTGATTGTATTACCCTACCATAGGATCAAAGCTGAAATGCTCTTGCATTTTTCAACAGGCAACGGTTTGTAGCTAATCTTGGATTTCTTTACACAGTCAGTTGCACTTCGGAAAAAACAAAAACAACAAAATACCACCTTTGACATGGTTTTGTTCATTGTATTGCATGATGTGTGTTTAGCTGTATCTACAAAAGGCACTATAGGAAGAGAGGAGTCCAGCGAGGTGGACTGGAGCAGGTTGGAATCATTTAATGCCCTGGATTACAACACGAGACTACCCACAGCGTCTCTGTACCTGACCTGCCTCACTGCAGAGAACACACCTGTCCCTAACCCGTATCAAAGGTCACTACAGCTTCTGTATGTACAAGCTAGGCTATAATACAACAATTTACAGTCTGTATCACAACATGGTGCAATTCTATCTGCGATAAAGTACTGCAACACACTGGAGGGAGCGAGCCCTGTCACAAGAGTGCAGATTTGTGCGTCTGAACAGTCCCTGCTGAGCCTTCAGTCCCTGCACCACTGGCTCCTCTGGCCTGGACGCCCCAGAGACACTCATGTGGTACCTTGGCAGTACCTTTATCAAGAGATGTGCCACTTGAGTGTCTCCTCACTTCACAGGCTTTGGTTTTAAAGTGAGGTGGAAACCTCTTTGACTGAAATGGTCCAAGGGTGTTGGGAACAGCCTCAGATCCTTGCAGTCCTGCGGGAGCAAAGCCAGTGCTGTTCTCCAGTGCTTGAGCAGCCGGGTCACAGTGCCACGCTTGAAGGAGGGCAAAAAGGATTTGAGTAATGGCTGGACAGTTACACACGTGATCACTACTTGGGGCAGGAAAAAAAAAGAAATAAATTAAAAACTGGGTGCTTTCACAAGTGGTCTGAAGCCAGAAGCAGCCGCTTTTTGCCAGCTGTGCCTCATCCCGTGCCACAGCTGGAGCCCCTTGCCCTTGCTGTGCTCGGTGACGTTGATAACAGGGCCCCCCCGCCATAATTCTACTTATCGACACCCAGCTGTCACCACCACTTCATGCCGGGCACTGGTTCTGTCAGTGCTCAGCTGCTGCCTGATCTGGGGAAGGAAAAAAGGCTTGGGAAGTTGGAAGGAAAGAAGCACGAGCGCTTAGCTAAATTTTCCCAAATTAACTGCTCACTCTCAAACCTGGCATTGTTTCCGGCAGACGCACAGCTTTGAAAAAAGCAGCAAGAAGTATTGAAGCCGACTGGCTGGAAAACCCAGCTGCTGCTCAGGAGAGACAGCCTGGCTCAGAAACCCCAACGTGCAGACACTACTCTCTGCAGGGATTCAACCCCCCCTTTTAGGGTTGGTTGTGCCACGCTCAGCTGCTGAGCCACATGCCACAACTGGCAGGCTGGCAGGCAGGGCACCAGGCCTGCTCACCTAGCCCCAGGTAACCCACACAGCACGAGCGAGACATGAGAAACTCACCCTGCTGCAGAGGAGAGAGGTGCAGAGCAGCAGCAGGCCCTTCCCAGAGCACACGGCAGCTCCTGAGAACGCTGCTCTTGGAGCCAGAGCTGGCGCTGCCCAGGGCTCCTTGTGAGCCTCATGCTGGGACAGCAGCCTCATCACCGGCACAGCCCCACGGCTCTCCGGGGCTGCTCCATGGGCAGTGGAGCTGCCCATCCCAGGGGATGAGCAGGGAGTCACTTCTGCCGAGCTGCCCACCAGCACCAGCTCCTGCCCGTCCCTGAGCCCCTGGCACGGAGGGGAGCCGGCACGTGCTTGCCCCGGGCAGAAGGGACCATGAGGGGTCACCTGGTCCCCGCCTGTGCTGCAGACAATTGGGACCTTGTCCCTGCCTGCCTTGAGGGCCGGGTGACAGATCCCGTCCACGGCCCTTCCTCCTGCACTGCCACCACCTGCGAAGCCCCCAGCCCGCGTACCTCCTTCGCTCCCGCTCAGCGTGACCTGCTGCCCGAGCAGGGCCAGGCGGCTGCCTCATGCCAGGGGCCCTCAGCCCTCTCCTCCGAAGTACACAGCTGTGCCTGGGGGCTCCAGGGGCCCTGGGGGCAGTGCCCTGGGGGCCCAGGGAGGCAGCCCCTCTGCCAGCTCTCCCTGACCCCCTCACACCCTCCAGGCTCTGGTGAGCAGCTCAGTACCAGTGCCAGCACCACCTGGGGTCGGGGTCCACCATCCACCCTGCCTGCTGCAGCTCTGCCCCTCACCCAGGAGCTGGCAAGACCTGCCCAGAGGCTTTCTGTGGGATACAAATCAATGCTCGAGGGATACCTGCCACCTGATTGGCCCACAGGCAGCAGCACCCCAGGACCCCAGCCAGGGTGTTGGACCCTCAAATGGCACATACATGGCAGTGCCAGGCTCCAGGCCTCCCTGTCCCTCTGCCCCCACATCACTGGCAGCACCTCTCCCTGCCCTGCCTGGGGCCGCGGCTGCTCCGTGCCCCGCGGGTGCACACACTCGGTCCCAGGCAGCACCGCCACGGTGGGGCTGAGGGTGCCAGGGGTGGCCCAGCTCTCACCCCCTCTTCTGTGGCCCAGGGTCTTTGCAACCCTCTCCTCCCTGTGGCTGGGGTCACTGAGGCTCCCTCCGGTCACACATGGGACAGCGGGACCTGCTTGTGGTAGGAGGCCATGCTGGGCAGCACCGTCCTGCCAGCCAGCGCCGGGCTGGCCTCACCATACACGGAGGCGCCCACGGGCTTCCTGGCCTGGCAGCACCGGGCGGTGAAGCGCCTCCAGGACTCGAGTGTCTTGCCAGACCAGATCCAAACACCAGAGGTGATGCCCACCACAAGGCACATGAAGTACTTGAGCATGAAGACGGCATAGTCAGGCTTGGGGCGGTGAGGGTCCCCCGGGCAGGAGCAGTTCTGCGCCTGCTCCCACGCCTCCCGGTTGTGCTGCTCGTAGATGTAGCAGGCGATGACGATGGTGGCCGGCACAGTGTAGAGCACGGTGAAGATGCCGATGCGGATCATCAGCTTCTCCAGCTTGTCAGTTTTGGTGCCGCCCTGCTTGATCACACTGCGGATGCGGAAGAGTGAGATGAAACCAGCCAGCAGGAAAAGGCTGCCGGTGAAGAGATAAACCACTAGTGGTGCCAACACAAAGCCCCGCAGGTTCTCCAGGCTCTGGTTGCCCACATAGCAAACCCCAGCCACCGGATCACCATCCACGGAGCTGAGTGCCAGTACAGCAATGGATTTGGCGCTGGGGATGAGCCAGGCAGCCAGGTGGAAGTACTGTGAGTAGCCAGCAATGGCCTCATTGCCCCACTTCATGCCAGCAGCCAGGAACCAGGTGAGGGACAGGATGACCCACCAGATAGAGCTGGCCATGCCGAAAAAGTAGAGGAGAAGGAAAACCACAGTGCAGAGAGCAGGGCCCGTGGTCTCATAATGGATGTGGTGGTGCTCCGGGTTGCAAGCCACGTTGGCATGTCCTGCCACCAGCCGCACGATGTAGCCCACGGAGACGAAGAGGTAGCAAGCAGAGAGGAAGATGATGGGGCGCTCGGGGTACTTGAAGCGCTCCATGTCAATGAGGAAGGTGGCCACGGTGGTAGAGGTGGAGAGGAAGCAGAGGATGGACCAGAGGCCGATCCAGAAGGTGGCAAAGGTCTTCTCATCCTGGGTAAAGTAGGGCTGGTAGCAGGGAATGGCACAGTTGAGTACCTTTCCGGTCCTGATGCGGTTGTACAGCGGATGGGACTCCTTGGAGATGTGGATAAGGGGCGCTTTGCACTTGCAAGTCTGAGCACAGTCCAGCCCCGAGGGCCGCTGCCCATCAAGCGGTGTCAGGTTTTTGGCCATGTCCTTGGCAGGGCGCGTCGGCTTCCCAAAGAAAGGCGGCAGGGTGGTTGCTTCCGTGTGGTTGTATCCCATGCAGAGCACCTCGGAGTCCCCCAGAACAGGCAGGTTGTCGCAGCTCATCCTCTCGGGCCAGGCGAAGCCGTACTGCTGCATGATGGGCGAGCAGCCGGCCTTGGCCCGCTCGCAGACGGAGCGGCAGGGAGGCAGCGGCTTGGTGTAGTCGGACAGGCAGATGGGGGTGTACATGCTGCAGAGAAAGAAGCGCAGGTCCGGGGAGCACTGGATCTCCACCAGCGGCCAGAACTGGTGCACCTCCAGCCCGGCTTCGTCCTGCGTGTCGTGGTTGAACTGGTTGGGCATGTAGGTGAGGTTGTAGCCGATGCCCTTGCACATCGGCACCGTGATCTCCTGGCACACCAGCGCCTTGGAGGCGGCGCGCCCCGCCGCCGGCAGCCCGAGCAGCAGCGGCAGCCCCAGCAGCAGCGGCACCGGCAGCCGCCGGCCGCCCATCGCCGCCGCGCGTCCTACCGCCGCCGCATGTCCTGGCACCTGCCGCCGCCGCGCCGGGAGCGGGGCCCCGCCGGGAGCGCGACCGGCACCGCCGCCACCGCCGCCGCCGCCGCCACCTGCGCTCTGGGGCGGGCGGGCGACTCCGCGCCGCGCCGCGCCCGCGCCCCGCCCGCGGAACGCCCCGGGAACGCCCCCGCCGCTGGACCCGCCCCGCCGGGGCTCCCCGGGGCCGCCCCCGCCCGCGGCTCCGAGTGCGGGGGCGGCGGATCGGGGCGTCCCGCCGGGACACTGCTCGGCCCCGGCCCCCCCGCCCCGCCCGCCGGGCGCGTCCCTCCGTCCCCGCCCGCCGGCGCTCGGAGTCCCGCGGCGGCCCGGGAGCGGGAGAAGGGAGAAGGTGGCGGTGCTGCCAAACCTGTGACCGCTCCGCCCCCGGCTCCGTGTCTGTGCGGGGATCCCAACGCCTTCCCCTCTTGTCCGCCGGGCCCCTGCCGAGGCCCGGGACCCCCCGAGTGGGCGCGAAGAGCCCAGCGGGCCGCGGCGGGAGGAGGAGGGCAGGCGGTGCCCGCGCTGCCGCTTCGCCCCCTCCTCGTCGGGCCCTTCAGCCCCTCTCCGCGGGAGGGGGCCGCGGCCGTGGCCCCGCCACAAGGGGATGGGGACGAACGGGGGCAAACTCTGGGCAGCGGAAGGGAAGGGTGCAGAGGTCCTGCCCGCGTTTGCTTTGCTCCGGCAATGGTACATCAAGCCGGGTACAAGTGGGGCACGGCAGCATCTACCGCCGCCGCCTCCCGCCGATGCCCGCTCCCAGCTGCTCAGCGAGGCAGCGCTCCCGGCTCCCAGAAAGCTGAGCCGCGGCGGGAAGGAAACTGTTCCCTGCCCGGGTGCAGCAGCTGTGCTGCCACATTCCCAGCCGGGACTCCGGTCGCCCGCCGCTCCGCCTCGGAGCCGCGTTCCCAGCCCCTTCCTTTCCTCCCGGGCAGGGGCAGGTGCTGGGACGCAGCGCGATCGAACGACGAGACCGTGGGGATCCCGGGCTCCTGCCAGGACCACCGCGGTGGTCACGCTCAGCTGCCTGACTGCGAGGAATTCCAATCCTCCAATCCATGCATTCTCAAACACCTAAATTACCAGCCTGGTTTTCAGCGGCTTCCCCTGAAAGCCCTGAAGCCCACAGCATGTTCAAGGCACATAGGGGAACAGACCCACTTCAGAAGCCAGATTTGGGAGTCAGAGGCTGCAGCTGCTGTGGCAGAGTCGGTTTTCTGGCCAAGGCGGAAGGCTGCTCCCGAGCCCTTGCACAGGAGCTCCTCACTCCTTCTCAGGGGATGTGGATGGAAGGGCAACATGAACCAAAAGTACTTCTCATCCAGCACTTGCTGTGCTAGTCAAGACATACCCACAGCACATCACAGACACAAGACAGCTCACATTTGGATGCTAAGGAACACCAACACCCAATATCTCATGCATCCAAAATAACTCTAACTGCATCCAGAGCCCACAAATAAAAGACTCAAAACGTGACCTAGCTCCTGCCTTCCTCCCAGAGGTAAAATGTGGCTTGCCTGTTGCTCTGTGGCCAGTAGGTGATGTACCTATGGACAGAGCACTGACAGTAAGTATGCTGCTACCATTCACCAGTTGTCAGGGATTTTAAGGCCATCCCTGAAATCCTTTGTGTCCACACATCTACCCATCCTAGGCATGCATATCATTTGGCACTGTCAACCTTGATGCTTAACAACTTTAAAACAAACAAACAAACAAACAAATTTAGAGCTTTACACTCGAAGTTTTACCCAGTAATAAAGCTATACACAAGAGAATTACAAGTCACATGTTCCTTTGGAAGATAGTGGCATATCCATGTAGCAGGAGTCATAACTTTTAATTCTCCCCAACAATGAGTTTCTGTGAACTAGCAGCCCAGCAGAAAGCAATCACAGACAGTTTCATTATGGCTTTCAGTTGATTATCCAAATTATAGCTGAGAGCAGAGGGCAGCCTTTTTATTATCATCATTGCTGTACAATTAGAAAATGCTGATGAAGCTCCACAAGAGCAGAAATTCACTTTTCTGATGGCATTTTTCATTTTTCTAAGCATTCCCCTGGGCAATATCTTGGTTTGGTTTGACACGCAATGGGGAACAGGTACATAGGTGGGAAGGGAGAAGATGAGAAGAGGAAAATGGGGCAGCTCCTCATCTCAGTTAATCTATCAGCTTCTGTAGCCTGGTTCAGGTTTTGCCACTCCTCCAGATGTATCTAATTCCTAGAGCCTGGCTGTAAATAATGCTGTGTTTGCTACACTGGGGACACATAAAATCCAATTAAGAGCCAGGTAGACATCTGTTGTCTTGCTCTGTGCTTCTGTTTCCTTTTTGTTTTTCATGAATACGTAGCAGAGCAACCAGAACAGGATTAAATACGGTGTAAGTGCCAGTACAATTGATAGGCTTGTTACTCATCTCTTTGGTACAGTGTGAGAATACAGTGCATTATGTGCATCCAGCAGTACCAGTGACAGAAGTTGTATCTGCACAAAATTTACTGTGCCAAACCCTGGACACAAGAAAAAAAAAAGTGTTTCCTGCCCCTAAGAAAATGCTTTTGTTGTTAAGAAACTCTTAAATTATTAGAAATCACTTTACCTTTAATCCATGTGCAGAAATGTCCATGAAGCTCCACCATCCTAGACAGGTCTGCTTGGGAGTTCAGCTAATCCCTGATCCTGGCTCCAGCCCAGAGGATACGGGCCCAGGCTGACAATACGTGTGTCCTTGCAGACATACCTTCCACCTGTTGAGGCGTTTTCAGCTGGGATTCAATGATTCCTGCTAGGAGCAGAAAGTAAAAAGGTGATAAATGTTTCTGTATTTGGTTCTTTCACTGCTGATTGTCAGTGTACACTGTTTACCTGGACAAACTGCCTTTGTGAAGGATACTGTGACTTTTAAAAGACTTTAGAAAAGGACTGAGTTTCCTTTGTAAAGACTGGCTGTTGCCCTTGCCCTTGTTAGAGGACTCAGCAGACTTTTGCAAAGAGCTTTTCAGCTCAGGCTCGGGCAGGACAAAGCCAGAGAGCACTGATCTCACTCTTGGCTTTGCTGGTACCAAAGCAGGGCAGGAACCTCCTGCCCCTCTTGTTACAGGACCAGCACACCACCCCAACCCTCGACCCTTCTTGCCTGAAGCAGCAAATCCCAGTTTTGTCTGCACTGCTGACAAATCTCCAGCTCCCACGAAGGGAGCAGTGGGGGCCCAACACAGGTGACTCTGATCTCCTGATGCTGGTGGGCAGCCTGCCAATTACCCCAGCTGGAGGCTGTGCTATCTCAGGCACTGCCCAAATTAGCAGTGACCCCTGACAACGAACTGCTTGAGTGAAGGGGTGCTGGGGACCACAAGGTGGTTTGCACAGCACAAGACTGTGCCTCACTACCTGTCACGAGTGCAGGGACAGACAGCCATCACGTTTGGCATCACGACTCAGCCCCCAGCCAGCTCCAGCACAGCAGGCCCACTGCGTACTGGTACAAAAGGAGATCAATGTTTCCCCCACACAGAAGACAGAGCTGCACCAAGACAGGTTTGCTTCTGCTTCCACTTGCCATGCAGGTGTTTGCCTTCCCACCTGAGAGCTGCATGGCTGCAGGCTGCCCGTGCTGCAAACCCCAGCACCAACACTGACCTTGTGATACAGGACCTGGAGGGGAGGGGTCCTAAATAAGAGACCAAGCTCCTTGCTAATACACAGGAAGGAGGGGGTCCAGCAGGTAGGGAGACAGAGGGGCTCTTAGCCCTTTGTGAGGAGGCAGGGCAAAGTGAGAATCACTGCAGGCATTTGCAGAGGGACCCTGGCACCCAAATCCTACCGAAGTGCAACAGCAGCAGGGGCAAACATTTTCTCTTGTGCTCAGATGATTTAAAGGCTGGGAACAGGAATTCAGATTTAAATCACTTGCATTCTTTTCACCATGTTGAAATTCCCCTCAAAATCCCAGCTTACATCAATACAATTTGGTTTTATATTTACCTGTACAATTACACACCTTAACATACTGCAGGAAAACAAAGCCATGCCAAACTCTAGTCATATCCAAATTGCTACATGGAACTAGACAACTTCTGAGTGAATTAATCCAAAACAGTGACACGGACTTTAGCAACACCTGACACAAATGCTGCAGTTTTGTAAAGTGCTACCAGAAGTTCAGGTAAGACCAAAGTAAAATCAGGAAGAGTGTCTGCATTTAAAACTATGCTTGCCAGACTCATCAGTTATTACTTAACAATATATGTACATATAAGTGCACAGAAAATGTAGTAATTAGTTTTCTTTGGTGTCCCCAGGCACTGGGACCCCTTTCCACGAGGCATGGTTGGTACACCAAAGGGACGTTCCTGTCCCGAGGTGCCACTACCACAGCATGCAAAGGTAGGATCAGGGCCCTGGCCCAAAGGTGCAGGAGGGTTGTGGGGGGATGAGGGCAGGTTTCTGCCATGCCACAGCCGTGGTTGATCATCAGATCTCCTTCTGTGATTCACAGAATGCTGAGATAATGAGAAAGCAGTGAAATTCCTTACGTTTTATTTTCTTGGGGGGTTTAGTGCAGCCTGAAATGTCTGAAACATTTCAGATATGTAGTTTTTGAAGCATATCACATTATGCTTTTTCTTTTTCTTTTTTTTTCCACAGGCCCTTGAAAAGAAAACAGTCCCCATAGTGAAGTTGACATGATAAATTAGTATGGCCCTGGCAAAGCCCTCACTCTTCATTGGGCAAATACTTATTTATGGACTTTCAAATTGTGGCTTATGTAACAACAGGGTGAGTGACTTTCAAAAAACCTCCGCCATGTATTGACCTGATACAGCCTAATGGGTCCTTCAGAGCAATTAGGATTTATTGTGTTAGCGTCTATTGTGTATAGAGACCATTTTAAAAACATGTGTTATTTACCCAGAAAGCAGTAATGACTGTTTAAATACAGTTTAGATTGTTTCTGAAACTCTTGCTGCTCTATACATTGCAAAGAAGTTACTCCAAGCATTTTTCAGAGTTAAATACTTTGCTCCACTGGGATTTCCAAGCAGGGGAACTGTATCGCACATATATTTGTATGCTTGTAGCTGTAAGTGAAACAAGCTCTTGGGAAAGCTGTAAAATGAGCAGTCTCAGAGCATGGAATCTGAGATTTTTTTCTTGCCACTCTAGTAGTCTGAGCAACTCAGCCCTCTTTCTAGCTGAGAGAGCAGGGCATTTCCCATGAATCCCACAAGTTTTCCTCTGTCTGATCTGAAACTCAGCAAAAGTGACCTTAACAGCCAGGAAGCCGTGATTTGCCACACAGCACATCTAACCCTCTACGTGCACTGAGGTGAGATCATCACCACTTCCCTGTAACCTCCTGGGAGCCAGCATGCAAAGATAGAAGTGTTGGCTTCTGAAGACTGGTGCAGACTTGAGAAGCCTAACCCCTAGCCAGGCTCCTGACTTCACCAGCTCTGACTCCGACCTCATAACTAAAGCAAAACCCCAACTCATACATGGGAGCTGTCAAGTGTCTCTATTAAATAATAAGAATATAGACTAATTACCGCTTGATTAATCTTCAGACCAATGTTGTTCTGATCAACACTATCTCTCAATAGGTATTTCCTTTTTCTGCCCTTTTCCTGCACCCTGCTTTGCTGTGAGAGACCTTCAGGGTGAAACTTCTGAAAGCAGTTCAGCTTTGGCAAAATGCTTTCTCTGCCCTGTTTCAGGTCACAACCTCTGGAAGCTTGTTTCTATTTGCTTGGTTTACACCAAAATTAAAATACTATCTGTTGCAGTTGCATTACTTTATTTCTAGAGACAGAAATACTACGCAGCTTTCCATTCCAGCAAAAAGAGGGACAGTTTAGAGGAATCTCTGGCTGAAAAGACTGTGGTAAATATTTCAAAGTTAGGATGCAAATTTGTAATGGCCAATGTGCAAAATCCTCTGAAGAACAGAGTCAAGCAGCCTGGATTGAAGCTGGCTGAAACTTGTAATTTCTGTTTTACGTAAAATTCAAACATTTAAAAACAAAAAAATAACAAAACAAAACAAAAAACCCACAAACAAACAAAAAAACCCCCACAAACAAACAAAAACCCAACCAAACAAAAAAAAAACCACACCAGTTTGTTCCAAACAGGCAAGCTGCCCATACTTCTGAGAAATCCTGCATGAAGAGCTAGGAGGTTTCTTGTCACAACGTGTGCAAGTCCTAGAAGCCCCCTGCACAGGGAGGCCTTGGGAGCACAGGATGGGGGAGGTTCTGGGACATGGAAACCCTGGGGTGTCAGGATCTTTCTGGGAAACCGATCAGAATTCAGCCAGGAATCTGCCGGCTGAGCATTTGTTCCTTAGGTCCTGCCTGGTTTTCAGAGAAAGTTGGTCAGTCAAAACAGAAATGTTTCCAAGAAACTTTCTGTCTCTGCTGAACTGGCACTTTACAAAGAAACTGCTCTCAGTTTGAACATCTGCAGTTATGGGTGGTCTCTCCTGGCCTTAAAATTCTATGAATTGGTGCAAAACATATGATAATAACTGTCATTTTTAAAAGCAACTTCAGTCTGTGTTCAGAATAGTTCAAATTCAGTCTGGCCTTTCCTGAAAATACAGACTTTCATATAATCAAAACAAGTTTCAAACACATAAGCCTGTTTCACTGCATTTCTTCACTAACCCCTCAAGATGCTGTGATCAAGATTTTTCAGATACGGTGACTCTGGACTCTTCTGAGGCAACCTCAAGGGATCTTTATTTCCAGAAATCGTACTCCTTTACAACATGCCACATTGCTCACTCAAGATCAGAATCAATTAAAAATCACACGTTTGAAACTTTATCCTGTATGTGTACTTATCTATAGTACCCTAGAAGGAGAACGCTCATATACAACACACACAGATGTGTTTTCATGTTTCCATGAACCAGAAAGTAAGTATCAAAGCCAGAGACCTCCTCAAACAATGTCCTCTCCCTGACCTTTTAGGCATTCTTGCTAAGATCAGGCACTTCAGATTTTCCCTATCTGCTTTTGACATCCTTAAAGTGCTTGACACAGGGTTGGAGGAATATTTGGAGCTAAGATTTAGCGAGTCATGTCATTCACATGAAATGAACCAAATTATGTTGAAATACACATTCAAATCCCTGCACAATCAACATTTATTGGACACAAATAAAAAGAGCCAGAAACAGATGGAAAGGCAATTAGCACTAGCTGGAACTACACACATTTTGATTACTTCCTTCTGCAAGTCATTCATGGGATAAGGTAATACACAGGTCAAAGTGATTTTGGAAAGGATGTTGTTAGGAACATTCACATTCAGGTATTAGTTAGATGTGAAGAATTAACACATGCAAGTGACCCTTATGTGCTCTAATGGAATGGAAACAGAGAGCAGCATCTGCAGCAGGAGCCAGAAGAATGGTCTTTTTCCAGCTCAAGACTGAGGGGTTGGTTGATTTCCCAGCTCTCCGTGACCATAAGGGCAGGGACTAGTGTCATAGAATTGGAGTGCATCAAGAGATTTGCTGGGAGAAAGAAGGAATCCATCCTCTAAATCCTGTACCACCCTGCCATGTGCAGCAACCTCAAGGACACGATGATGTTGCCCTGCTTGGGATATGTCCCGGTGATGCAAGAAAGTGCTCCAAAATATTCCACAAGTGAGTTGCCAAACATATTTGATGACCAGGTTGTGAAGTCCTTTTTTACCAAACTGATACAATCAAACTGATCTTGTATAAGCAACAAACTGACCAAAAAAATGGCACAACTGCTGCAAAGATGGGGTTCACACAGGCCAGAATCTTCATTATGGCACAAAAACAGTGGAGTAGCTTGGTTTAGCTTTTTGTTCATAGAAGCCTGTCCAGCTGCAGAAGAATTCATGCTGTATGTATTTCCCTTACGCCAGTGAATTTTTGGGGCAAAGGAGTAGCTGAACCCTTCTCCAGGCCTCCCACAGACTGCTACTGCCAGACCTCCAGCCATTGCACTGTCACAAGGCAGACAGGATTCCACTGAGTGCACTGAAACTACTGTGCAAGCTTCCACCTGTGCCAGGTGCTGAATGTACCTGCAGAACAAACTGCTCTTGGGCTGAGCAGCCAAGGAATACAAAAAGTGCAAGAAAGGATAGGTAATTCTCCTTGCTTTTGCAGACAGCAGAACTCTGATTTGCCTTTACGGCCACAGAGAGATGGGAAATCGACCACTCAGTCCTGAACTGGAAAAAGACCATTCTGGCTCTTGCTGCAGATGCTGCTCCCTGTTTCTGTTTCACTAGAGCATGAGACTGACAGTCTCTGGCACTGTGCTACAGGGATGCAAGGCTGCAGGCACCTTCAGTCAGGGCCAGACTGATTGTCCTGGCAACAAAACCTCCTTCTGATAGACAGGCAGTCTGGAGGGGAACAAGGCAGATTCCTTACCTGGGCTAGCCAGGCTGCATCCTGACAGGACTAAACATCCCTCTTTGGAGGAGGAAGGGAGAATGCAAGGTGAGAAGACAGTGTAATCCTTTCAGCTGAGACTCTGCCAGGGGTGTTGCTAATTAGCAGAGAGAGGATGTGTTGTGGCTGGTGAGAGACAGACACGTTCTGTGTTGCGAGACAGTGCCTTCAACCAGCTCTGTCTGTGAGACACATACACTGAGAGCTCCCTGATGGTGTTTGTATTGTGGGAGCCATCCCAGCAACACCAGCTGAGTCCTTGATGCCCGCTGTGCTGCCCACAGCCTCGTGCGAAACCCGTGATGGGATTCTGGACAGACAAAAAGTCTTGGTTGTGAATCTTATTTTCACTGTTCTAATACAATCAAACCTATTTTGTACAGACATATAGAGTGGCTGTGGCTTCCAGGTCATGGAAAAAGACTGGTGCTGCAGCAGCATCTGCATTTCCTAAGCTTGCTCAGGTATTGAAGAGATGGGAGACTGTTGTAGCTAACAGAGGAAATAAGGAGGTATTTTCAGTCTCTATCAGAAGTGAGATCATGGCCTAGAACTCTATGTGTGTATTTGTATGTACCTTATGTGCTGCAGATTGGAAACATTTCCAGCTGAGACTACTAAATTTGGTCAGTTGGTGTCTGATCTAATTTATACTGAGCTGAATCTGCAAGAGCCCAGTTTAAGTTTTTGGGATTGTGTGTGGTTTGCTTCAGATGAGCATCTGTTCCAGCACCCCTGTATTCAAGGATAGCTGAAATGCACACCCATTATCTGAGAAGAACCAACAAACTAACGATCAGGCCCTGCAGCTTCCTTCCATAGATTTTATTTAGATTCCCATGACAACATAAAAGGAATGATTCTTAATTTTGTGTCTCTGTGTATTTTCCATTTGGGCTAAGATGCCCTGAATTTCTCCTCAATATTTAAGGATGTTTATGTGAGGTCAAACCTGACTTATGGCTCTTTTAACTTTGTATGTTCCCAAGACATAGCTGATTGTTGGGCACACAGGCTCCTGACTAAACCTAGTATGGGCAGTTCAGGAGATGATCTGAGACTGACAATAGCAACAAGGTGATCCCTACAGAAGTGGAGATTAAACATATTCAGCTGTGCACTAATGCAGCTACCCAAGACAATCCTAAGGTGTGCTGGGCCAAAATGTGATTTAAGAATTTCTGTATGTACCAGTGAAGGCCTTAGTCTGACTGAGAGCTGGCATAGATATGAGGGGAGAGAGGTGGAGGCAAGTGTTAGCACTGGGCAGACTTTTGTGGAGAAGGGTGGGCAAGGTTTGGTCTTCAGCCTGAGCAGATTCCTCATCCTTCCTAAGCTGACAGAGTTGCAGGTGACTGTTTTATGAGCAAAGAGGGAAATAGAAGCAAAAGAGAACAACAGCAGTGACCTCCAAGTCTCTGGTGGGGGAAGAGGGACAGACCACAGACAAACACAGCCCAGCCTCAAGGTATGTCGTGCCAGGCTGCAAAAAGGGACAGGGCTGCTTTAAAGGTCCTTGACACGAGCTCGGTGCTGACTCCAAAACCATACCCCTGCCCTGGCTGCAAAGTACCTCCTGTAATTGGCTACGAGCTTTAGAGAATGAAATCCAATTTACCTGCCACAAAGAAAAGCTAGATGAGGCCTCCCCAGAGCCGGTGGGTAAAGGAGGGCTGCCAGTTCCCACCCCCGAGCTGCTCCCCTCCCAGCCAGACCGGAGGGAAGGGGGAAGGGGCAGCGATGGCAGTAAGTGCAGGAACAATTCACTGGAGAGCCACGGTGCTCTTTGCAGTTTGCCCACTAATTACTATTAAGCCCTGGTTCCTTTTTGTGTTCCAAGGGGCGGCTTCAATGTGGCACTGCTTCTTGGGCCTTTCATGCGGCTGGGCTAACCCCTGAATAGCAGACTCACCCCCCTCGCTGCCTCTCTCTCCCTCTTTATTCCCCCCTTTTGCTTTTCTGATAGTATTTTCTGTCCATGTTGTGTAAGGCCCTAAATGAATCTTGACTGCCCCTACAGCCGACTGGAGACGCACAAAAGCGGCCCATTCCAGTGGCCACAGCGCCATTGTGTGCCCTAACAATGCACTAATTGGCGGTGACAATTGTGCGGCTGGGGAAGAAGAGGGGGCCGGGGGGGTGCCTGGAGGTGGGGGCTGAAGGTGGAACACGGGACATGGGTCCTTTCCAATCACTGAGGCGGGTCAATAAAAAAAAGAGAAGCGTGAGGAGCCAGAAACACGCTCTGCTCTGCATTTCTCCTGCCTACAGGTCCCTGCCAGTCCCAAGCAGTTTGCCCCAAGGGCCCCCGCAAATTCCTACAGAGAAGGGTAAAGCGAATAAATTTAAATGTGTGGGTCTGCAGAGAAAGATGTGAAAACTAGAAGGGTCATCTCAATCTCCCAGGCTGTCTCACCATCCCAGAGGCTGAAGAGCTCATGTGATGAGGACACCACTGAGATATTCATGGGAAAAGATCACACACAAAGCTAAGAAGATGCTGGTGCCACAGCATTCTGCTCTGGGTACACGTGGGAGAGAGACGACTCACCTCTTACTGAATGGGCTCAACATACCTTTGTTTTGCACGAGGTCAGTGGGATGCAAGGACAGGGTGTCCTCAGCACTCTGCAGGCGTAGGTGGTGGCCCTGAGGAGTAGGAGCCTGTGGTGCTGTTGAGAGTAAGAGAATGAACCTGGGCCACATCTCCAGCAGCAGCGAATCTGAGGACTGGAGGAAAGAAAGGAACAACAGGTGCCATGGGGCTGAGGTGTTTATTGCCACTGTGACATCTCCCAGTAGGGACCAACCAAGTCTCACGCTCAAAATTGGCAGGAGTGAGCCCACAGACTCTGAGAGAGGCCCCAGTATGAAGTTAACCCTGAAGTTTGGAGGCTGGTGTATCTGACAACTGAGGGACAGATTTCAACTTTATTCATTAGCTTTTAAGATATAATCTGGGACAGAAAATGGCATGGACAATGCTTTTGAGAAAGAAGCATGGAAGGCTCATCCAAATGCCTAGGCTCTAAACTAATTCAGACAGTTAACAGACATGGGGTCAGATGCTGAAGTGCTGAACTCCTACCCATGTGTTCTCCAAACAGCTCACATCAGCTCCCGCAGAGAACAGTGAAGACCAGCAGGTGTGGAGCACTCCGGTTCCTGACAGGGAAAGCAAAATAACCCAGACCAGCAGCAACAGCCAGGTTTATGAAAGGGCTTTGAAATGTCCCTTCTCACAGAGATACTTCTCTTACTTGAAGCTGATTTTTGAGAAGCATTGTCCAGAGCAGTCAGAAAGCAGGAATTCTCCTACCCCTTGCAGGACGGCTGTGGGACTGCTATGATGGGGAACACTTCTGCTAAATACCTTGATGAAAAAGAATTACCTCCTGCATTTGGAATGAAGTGGGAAAACACTTTCCCATATAGTGGCATCTAACCAGGGAACAATTACATAGGAACCACCTCTAGTGGAAGACCAATACTTTTCCTCAAGACTAACAAGTCCCACGTATTGGCATGGCTTGGAGAAGAAACCTTGCCCTAATCTCATGAAGAGCAGAGACAAAAAGCAGGGAGGACAAACTGGAGACCCCGGGACAGGCAGGCACCATGCCTGGACCTAAACTCCTAGTGCTTGACTGAGATTGGCATTTCAGTTTGGTCCACTACATATAAACACTGAGCTCAGACGAGAAGTCTGGTCCTGCAGCCAGAATGTGGAGGAGCCTACTGTGAGCCCAGTACGAGAAGCAGACCTGCAACAGCCTAGAGCTGGCAGTCTGCAGAGTGCAGGGTATGCTGTGTAGAAACTGGACTCTTGATCTTTCTGCCTCCTGGCCACCCCAAACACAGTATTTTTCTTAATGCAATCTCTCAGATTTTATGGGTCCTTGTCAGCATTCCTATGGAACAACAGAGGCCATCCCGGCTGCTGGGAAGAACCCCCACCTCTCTCCACTCATTGCAAGGTGGACTTAAGCTGTGTTAGGCTCCTATAACGTGGTGGTGGCAATATCCTCCCTGAGACAAAATCACTAGTTACCTGCTTTCAACATAGTAAATGTGCTTCTGCTTGCCCTCCCCTAGCAGGCCTCCACACCACTCCTGCCAACAGCTATGGAGACATTCCCGTGGATTACCAGGGATGCTGGAGGAGGGCCTTATATAGTGAGACTTCTCTACCTCCCTTTGCCCTAAGCCCTTCACAGAAGTACTTTATTGTTTTATGACAGGGCAGTAACACTTGACATAAATCTCTAAGCACAGCTAACAATGTCAATACTATGTAAATACCTACAGTAGAGACCTGTATTTTATTATGTTTCTGCCCTCTTTTACCTGTGATCACCCAGGGTTAACTCTGTGCTAGATGCACGTGTATTTCACAAGGAATCTGCCAATTGTATGCACTGCCACAGCTTATGTCTCTGAGCACTGAGATCCCAGCTCTGGTTCTTTCACAAACTGCAGCTTTCATTGGAGTGATCAGAGCTTGGATCTGCTTAAAAGATCGATCATGTTGTCTGTTATATCAGAGATAAGTGCTCCTCAGAAGTGCAGAGTCCAACCCAGAGCAGGACATTTTGCAATATGTACACAACAAACAATATTCACCAGCGTCACAGGCAATTGTGTGCCAATGTCTGATGACAGAATGGTGCTGGGGACTGTTTTCCACCCTATCCTTGCTCCCATGAGAGTCTGTACCCCTGCTCTTAGAAATCCATGGGATCACTTTGCAGGTGAAGGTACAAGTCAAGTGGAGAGACATTCCTCGTGTTTCATGACTTAGTTGCTGCACTTCAGGTATTTGCCTGCAGTGTCAGTCAGAAATGAGATTAATTTATAATCTTTACTACTGGGAAAGCACTTTGGACTGAAATGCTCCATGCACACTGATTACATCTATTACTTTTTTACACAAATTCAATAATATGCACTTTATTTTTAAGCAATAACTAACTTTACTGATAATTCCTTCTTAGTCACCTCTAAATACATAACATTGCACCTGCATGCTAAATACCTCTGAACTTTCAAGTCAATGAAAGTTCAGCCCTTAACACAAGCTTTTACCTGACTTCTCTTGCTTTTCAGATGAGCCTTATGACTTCTTTTTAGGCATCTAAATGAATGCTAATGCCTCAAACTCAACTATAGAAAATCCAAATTCACTTACTACAAACAAGGGACTGACTTTTTAGCATGTTTACAGCCTCAATGCCAAGTTTTATATTTGTCTACACTTAAAATGGATGGAATTTACTCCTGCTTGCCTTGTAGACTTTGTCTGGTTTTAATTGTGACACTTGATTATCTGAGATGCTTTTCACCACCTTCTCCTACTGGTAATACTCAGGCCTCTAAATGGGACCGCTATTTTGGAGAGTATTTAGTTAAACAAGACCTCTTTTTATGAGATAGTCCAGAGCTATGTACACACACTCCCAGAATATTTTCATTTGCCCTCAGTGTGCTTTCACTGGAAAAGTATGGTAAGCCTCAGACCTGGAAGATCCCTCTCAGTCCCTAAAGAAAGAAGGAGGACACTAGCTCCACTTGAGTTATTCCATTACTGTACTATAATCAGGATTGTATCACATATGGATACAGGCATGATGTTATGGAAAAGGTTAAAGGAAAAAGGATTTGTTTCCTTGAGCCTAGAGCAAAGTTCTGGTCAAGGAGCTGGTACTATTTCATTTATTTTAGACTGTGTCTTCAGGACTTCATAAACTTGTGGACACTGTGACTTATTCCCAAAAGAAGAGCTGCATTCCAGTTCCACCACCTTTTAGAAAACCAGTCAACTTCACATATTAAACCAAATACTATTAATTTTGGTCTAAGAGCTCGAAGGGTAGCTTTTAAAAAATGAACTGCCCTGACCTTTCAGAGAAGAGCTGGAGCTGCAATTGGCACGCTCTTCCCAGGGCTCCCTTGTCCCCATGGTCTCTGCTCTGTGTGGATGCTTTTTCCCACCACCTCTTACAGGGTGAAGTGAGGAGGGAAGCTGGCAGTGAAAGGGGAAGGAGATGTCATAACAGAATTTGCTCACCTTGTAAAGCAAATAAGGAGGAAGAGAAGGCCTTGCACATGGTTTTCTTGTGCAGTTTGTGTGATCTTCATCAAACATTAACTCCCTGCTTGTAGCTGATTTCATCACAGGGATGAAGTCCAAAGGTTCCTGCAGGAGAAACGATTGACATTTCTGATGGATCCCCGGTCTTTCTGACGAGGGGCAGGAGGACAGTGAGGGACGGGATATATCCTCCTCTGTGAAAGCTGCCAGAGCGTAGGGCTGGGAGTAGATTTCTCTGGGGGCTCTCAGGCAGGGGGTTTAGGCCTGTGAGCTCCACCATGGCTCAGCGCTGCAATCCTTAGTCACCACATTCACAGCTTCAGGGAGCTGCAGAAGCAACCGAGAAAAGCAGGAATCGTGGCTGCTCCTACATCCTACCTCAGTGGGAAAACCATGGGCAAAATCCTACCCTTCCAGGCCCCCCGTGGTCCCTTTAGTCCAGCTGGGAGATGCCTCCCTTATTTAGGATTTAAAGCCCTGAGCTTGGACCCTTCTGGCAGAGGTCCATGTGACAGCCATGCGGTGGGGAGCTGCCACCTGCATGACTCCCAGGAACTCTGCATCCAAAGGTGCCTGAAAGCTACAGCTCCCAATAAGCTCCCCTGGGAGCTTTTGTTGGGGTCAGCACCATTAAAAACCCAGGAATTTGTGGCTTTCCAAAAACACTTAACAAATTTAACTGGGAATCCAAACCCACAGAGCCCAATACAGACATCGACAGTAGTTCCAGAGACCTGGCTCAGATGCAGGAACAGTGAGCATCATAATTTTCTTAGATTTGGAAGACTTTCACCAGCAGATTAGCCTTTTTAAGAAAACTATCACTCTTTCAAAGCTTGCTCTACCCCTGGTACAGTGCCCACCAGAAGGCAAATTAAAAAGGACGAGTAACTTTTTTTTAGTGTTTATTGAGAGTTGCCTTTATACACGAGGGACTGGTGCTCTGATGCTGTCACAAGTGAACCCAAATAAACCCTGCTCAAGTGTCTACAAGCAATTCAACTCGGTGAATTTATATTATAACATTTCCACACATCAATAATGAATTAAGACTATTGCCTAGAAGTTGCAGATAATTTAAAAAAATCCTTGTCAAAAGTAAAAAAACAACAATGCAAACACAAGAACAACGGAACACACAGAGCGATGTTGCAAATAAGTTAACAGAGTAGCACACACACATAATGGTTTTCAAAAAACTCAGGGTGCACTGCCAGCAATGATAAAACTCACTGCAAATGCTGCAGGTGAGCTGGTGCTCTGGCAGGAAGGAAAGCCCACACTGCCAGGGACCACATCAGCCACTGCGCTCTGCTGCTCATGCCTGGCTTTCCCTGGCTTTTAACTGCCTCGACTGCACTAAAGTTGATTTGGGAGCTGCCTTTATCACTTAGTACCCGTCAAACACACATTTTGCTCGTGACTTCCTTTTGCTTAGCTCAAGTATAGCAGGGACTGGTATAAGCTAAGTTGTATCACAGGTACTGATGCCATTAAAAATCAGCCTGAAAGTACACTTCAGTTTAAGCAAAATCGACTTGGTAGACAAGTGCTTGAGCAAAACTAAACCAAATCCTTTTTTCATCAAAACAATACTGTGTATTCAAGGATTTACATTGGTTTAACACGTGGATTAGACAGGAATAAATAAATAATTGAGCCACTGACACTTGTGCACATAGACAAAGTCTACTACACTTTGGTCCTAGATAGCTGATAGCTCTCCAGGCCTGGATACCTCTGATGCTGACCACATGTGGCACCTTTGCAATTTGGATTAATGACCATCTTAACTGGCATTTTAAGATATGAATCAGGCCAGCATGGGCACACCACGGTTTTCAAGTAAAGAAAGACTTTGCACATTATCATCCAGGCTGTCTCCTCACTGTACTGCTAAAATGCAGCAACAGCACTGCCGCTGTCAAACGGGATTCGGGCTATTGGCATCAAATGTGGACTTCTAAGATCACAGTCAGTATGGACCTGTGCCCCAGGCTGAAACATGTCACATACTTTAGCAAATAATGCTAAAATTTAAACAGGTTAACCCTCTCTCTAAGGTAAGGCTGAGCAAACCCTCACTGGTTAGCCTTCAGAGAACCAGGCTGCATTAAAATTGAGCTTTGAGGAAATGCCTTCACTCCCACAGCACCAGATCCAGCTGTGCATGTGAGTAGGGAGTGCCGTACGGGAGTCCCTTACCACGTGGTGTGGACTGGCCAGTGGTTCCAGGAGGAACTGCATGTGACCTGACCCTGTTTTAATTCCCAATACTTGCCACTATTATATATGCACCTCTTCTGAAGGTCTCGCAAAAGCACAACTGCATTTCTGGCTGAGAAGCACAGGTAGTTTCAAAAATATAGATAATAAAAACCAACACCATCTCCATGCTATCCTCTCTCATACTGCCCTCTCAAAGCATAGATAGTAAAAAAATTTTATGGTTACCATTCCTAGCAAGGTGGAAACTGTCACGAGCAAGGGTTTCAAGCTCCAATGCAAACACACTGCATCATGGCAGAGCATTTCTAACAAAATTATTCACTTTTGAAAATTTAAGGCACCAAAAATGAGCAAAAGTGAGGAGTTCTCATGCAGCTTGGTGTCTTCAGAGCTGGTGTATGCAGCCTGTAGAGCTCACTTCATGAGGGCACAACAACCAAACTGAATTACTCAGACGCTCCTGCAAAAAAGCAGGCACAGCCATGGGAGAGTTTCAGTTTAAGCCTACAAGTTAATTGAACAGCAGATGCAATCAGGAAATCCAAACCAGGAAGATAGAGGCTAATATACAGTACTGTAAGGCACTCCTACTGGGAAGGGGAAAATTGAAAGGCAAATTACGAAGGAGAGAATGACTGGACTCAACTGCTTGAAAAACAACACGAGGAGCTATGAAGCTCCAAGTCTGGCTGTAGACTCAGCACTGGGAGTAGAGACAGGGACAGAGACAGTGAGAGAAAGAGAGGAGAGACTGGTTTGCAGCTGAGCAGCAGGAAAAAAAAAGTGAAAAGATTATTGTGATTATTTCATTTCTTCTATACAGATCAACAGTAAGCTCCAATCCAGGCAGTGACCTTGGGAAGCCTGGGAAACTCGGCTGCTACAGGGAAAAAGCAAAATTCAACTGTGCAGCTTCCCCATTTCATTGTAAACAGACATCCTCTGCTTTTCTTAAAAAAATCTTTGAAGACATTATCATCAATCCCTTATAATACACACACCATCCTGATTATAAGAGAAGCCTTGACAAGAGGAGCTCTACAAGTACCCTGATGATTTGCTCCTAACAGGGCCATTAGAGCTTGTGGAGTACTGTGAAAAACTTGAGTTTCTCACCAAAAAGTACCTTCCCTCACAACTACCAATTCCTATCATCCCAGCAGTGAGCCCATATTGGTATGTGCCAGCCAGGATATTTTGTCACATCACAAACCGATCATTTTCCACAACCTAAGAAAAAAAAAAAAAGGCAAGAGAATATTTTCTACACAAGAAATACAAGTTTCTCTTTTATAGCTTGATAATGTAAAAAAGCTGCAGTTTGCATACCCTTCTTCCCATTAAAGGAAAGGCAGATGGTCAGGGTAAAGAGGAAAAGAAACTTGAATAAGGATCTCTACAGTGTCCTAGATTAAAATAATCTCAGACTAACAAATATAAGTACCTGTAGAGTGTGAAGCTATAGTCCACTGCAGAGAAGCATCCTATTTCTACACTGATTACAAGTTTTGTACAAAGCAAAAGCAGTAACTGGATTACAGATCAATTCCTCCTCAGTCAGCTATGAAAGCATCTTCTCTTTGAAGGAGAAACACGGCATATTTTATTCTTGACTCACAATGAAATGGCATTGTTCAAATTTATTTCATGCATGGGTAGGACAATACTAGAAGTACCAATACATAATTTCACCTGTGTGTGGGGAGGCAAGAGAGAAGTGCAACCTGCAAAAAACCCCAGGAACTTTTCCAGCTGATGCTCATCCATAAGTCTGGAGAGCAGAGCCACGTGTAGAGTAGCAGTGGGGACCAGCACACAGCATTGTTAGTACAGCACAGACAACCATGCACAGGTACAGCATTGTCTGAAACCCAAACCACCCCAGGCTGAGTCTCCTGCTTGCAGGTGGCTCTGGTAAGAAAACGTCCCTTTTAGTGCCAGGTCTTTTGAGAGTTAATAATGTGAGCAGTAATTTCAATTTATTCTTTTGCCTTGCAGTCCTGAAAAATTAATAGGGCTTCTTCCTACTGCGTCGGCACCTTCTGAGGGCAGGATCAAGCCTTCCATTATGCTTACAAAAAGCAGTGACAAAAGATTTTGTCTTGCCCATTCATATGGAGTAATATTTTTTGGATAGGAGCTGGGCATCCCTGAGAGGACAGTATCTTCCACATTATGGTCTGCTCCTATAGCTACCATGAAGCCTATTATTTTTCCAAAGTAGAAATGAATGTGTATTTTAGGAACTAGCTGGTTTACAACAACATTGGATTTTAAAGGAATTAATTTGGTCTGTATTGTACAGTATCCTTTTACATAGTGCTTTGGGCACTGACAGCATATTGTAACAACATGCTTTTGCTCTTTGTCATTAGTAATGGCAGTGGTTTCAGATCCATGACTAATTCTAGCAGTTTTGCCAACATCATACTTTTTTTTTAATTCTCTGTTAACTCTCTATTAGCAAAGAAACTGTTCTGTAATACCTGTACAAACCCAGAGCAACTCCAGTGCTGTCTATGTTGTTATAACAGAATTCAATTCCAATGTCTAACCACACACACAACTGGTACTTTGGAGATCAGGACATCTGTCAAAGTAACTAATAGTTTGTAATGTCTGAACCTTGATTCCTTGACTCCATATGGTTTTTGACAGTGTGCACAAAGAGCCTTCTCCAAACTGAGCTGGACATGAACAACGTAAGGTATCTTAAATACCAGAGCACGATGATATGAAAAACACTATCATTTTTTCTTTAACCACCTCACATTATGTCCACAGATAATTCAAAATAGTACCTGCCAGATTCTGACAGTTTCAGAGCTACTGGCTTTGCCACAGGACTAGTTGTAGTGACACATGCTAAAAAACATGG